AAAAAATAATATTCAACCAATCAAACAACAACAATTGGCAAATGAGTTTCTCTACCCCCATGAAAACCGATTTATCGCTAACAAACTCACTAAGATAGTAGCGATGAGGATGCTCTTAGTCCATCGTCTTTTTTCGCTAAAGATGTGTGTCTCTCTCTAACAAATGCGTCTCCTGTTATGAGAACTAAAATCATTAATTTTTTCAACTGAAGTGTTTTAAAAAAAAATAAAATCAGTTTACATATGTCTCTGAAACCGTTAGCGTAGCGGTTAATTACCCATTACAAAATCAAAATCAAGCAAGAAGACATTTAAAAGAATATACAAAAAAATGTGTTAAGGTCTTGCGTTACATCTCAACAACGGATACCACATACATATTTCCTGATATGGTTTTTATGTGGGTATGTCGGTTTATCGGCGGGACATTGCTCACTATGGGAATACGGCTTCCAAAAATAAAAACAGACTGTTAATTTTTTTGATTTTCTACCAAATCATAATTTAGACGAAAAAACTCTATAAAAACTTTCATGGAACTGTGAAACATTGTATCAACTAAGGCCAAACAAATATAAACACACAAGAACCAAATTCAACTTTACGTTAAAGTAAAGCACAACATATATATTTGCCTGAGCGAATGCGCGGGTTCTATTCTAGTGTCCCCAAATAATAGCTATCAATCCACCATCACTAGATTAACGTACTTTTACAAAAATGATTGACAATACTTTTATTTATCCTTCTGATTAAAATACGTCGCGCAAACAAATCATGAGTTTGGTTTTTGTTTGTGGCACTTGCAAGAGGAGCAATGCTTCACAGACATAAAACATATGGCTCTCTGATCAAAAAAATAAATAAGAGCTATGATGTATCCTGATTTTTACGGTTTTTAATACGGTTTTTGTAACTATATATAATATTTTTTCGTGCTTTTATATCTTAAGTGGTAGTTTTAGTGTATTTCTAGTGTTTAGAGTCTTTTACATGTCATTTGGACAAACATGCAAGAAAACGAGATATTGGACAGTTCCGAAGCACCAGATGTCGAGCAACAGTTGGAGGCCTTAAATTCATTTGATTGAGCTGAAATTTGGATACGAGATAGATGATTGAGTCATTTTTCTTCCAGAAGAAGTTTGAAGCGATTTGGATTAAAAGCCAGAAAGTTATTCTAATTCTCGTGGAGACATATGAATCTGGTCCGCGAATGAAGCATGCGAATATATTAGACGGACTGGAGAGCTCGACCTAAAGACGAAGACAACGCGGTCGATCTAGTCCTAGCCCGACCTAAGAGACCGACCTTAGCCTTCCTTGCACGAGACCGGTCTTCTTTGCTGAAAAGACAGATTTTTCTTTTTCGTCCAGAACTTCTCCAATTCGACCCAAGAAATATCTAAACCTATTTATACATGTTTTTAGCCACTTTAGCATAGCGAGACACATATTATTCTATAGTTTTTACTTATTTTTG